AAATAACACTGGAAATGGATTCAGAACGAAAAATTGAGTGGATAGGCAAGTTTCAGAAAAATCAGTGAATAGGGTTTTTCGCGGGTAAAAATATCGCGGTACGATTGCACCGTAAAACGTGCCAGTTGAGTTTTGAGCTCTAGGTTTCAAATATGAGTTATAAATGGTTTATTGAGTTAGGAAATACGATTTTTGATAAAAATTGATGGAATTAATTCAGTTTGGGGAAGCATGTCAACGGCGCGCGCAATAGCTTAAAATAGTGTTTTCTCCGAATGACCGGAAAACTTCGGATTCATCTGATCAAGTATAATTAAGGGAGAATGATTAATGTTAAAAATTAGAGTTTCTAAATAGTTTTTGAATTTATAGACGTTTAGTGGAATCAGAGGGGAATTCAAATGAGTTTGAAATCGGGTGAGGTGGCGGTGGGACCCACCCCACTTAAATCACGTAAGCCACATCACCCTAACACTATTCACCATCACTTTCCCTTCCCTTTTTCTTGCCAAAACCGTGACCCCCCTCCCCTTTTAGACATTTTAGATTCAAATCTTCATTCCTTGATAAATCCTTCATTTCTCAACTGAATCGAGTGATTTTTGTGTTGAAATTTGTTGGAAACAACCTTCCAAACACATTGGTAGTATCCATTCACCTTGAAACCCTCTATTTGGTGAGATATTTTCCATTTACAGCCACGAAATTTTCGAGAAAAATGGATGTTCATGGAGCTTTTTGAGCTTCCATTGCTTGGAGGAGTATTGGGGTAGCTTCTATCCTTTGTTGTGAGTATGTTTCCATCCTATTTACATGGTTTAATTGTGATTGAATTTTTGGAAACCTAAAGCTTGATTTGATGATGTGTTGTGTTAGGGAGCTCAATTGGAAAATGTGTATTAGATGATAATGTGTTAGAATGATGTGTTAGAGCTAGAAATGCGAAGAAATTTATTGGTGAAAAATATGAATTTATAACTTAGAAATTTTGAGGATTGTCATGACTTGGATTTTTGGAAATGTGTTAGAATTGATTAATGAGTTGTTGTATGATCGTATGATGATAAAATAGGATGATAGAAGGTGTGGAGTGGTTGAAATTGATTGGAAACTCCTTGGAGTGTCATAGGACACAATTCGACCCTTTGAGGAAAAATGAGTGAATTGATGTTGAAAAATGATTTGAATGATGAATTGTATAGTTATATGGTACTAAGATGGGTTGTGTGGTGGTTAGAAAGTGTTAGAATCAATGGAAAATAATAACTTGTGTTTAGGGACATAAATGAACCTAGAGTAAATTATTTAGCAAAACGATGAGTAAAAGACGTAAAACGGAAAAACGGCACTTGAATTGGCCTCTTGGCAGCCTAAGAAAGCATAATAAAATGAGAAAGAAAATTTAGAAAAATAAATCCTAAAATAACACTACAAGGGTCGAACCATCATGGTGATGGGAAGGATTTTTGTGTTTTTTCGCGTTTTGACGTAAATTGACGTATACTGACGGTTGTACATGGTTGTATAGGTTGCCGTACGGCGACTTGAATCCTTAACAGTGAATCAGTGCATTGCCCTTGGTCCTGGACCAAGTGGATTGAGGTAAGTGATTGTATTATGCATGTGAAATTGAGATTTGGCATGCATTTTGTGAACTTTGAGTAAGTGGGAACGTCCTATGTGTAGGCGTTCTGTTGAGTAGCAGACTTGGAACTTAAGCTGCTGCGGAGCTAAGTGAGAAAACTATTTAAGGTAACCTCTTGGTACTGGGGCTTGTTCCCCTTTTTCTGTTCCACCTTTCCAGTTGATGACAACGGTAGGAAGTGTATATGAGCAGTGTAGAACACATGAGCATGCATGCATTATTACAATGGGTACTTATGTACCGAGTCTCCGGCCAGTAGAAAGTTTTCTTAGCCTTCGGGCAATTTCGGACTTCCACTGGATAGGTCATCGAGAGGGAGTTCCAGTTGACCGTGAGTCATAGTGTGTGATCCGGGTAGGAGCACACTAGGAATGTCTTTGGCGTTTTGGATGGTTGGGGCATCATGGTTGTGGTTTTTGGAATGCACTTTGGATGATACCCATAGGCTTATATATGCCCAGGGCGTTCGTGGTATTGGTAGCTACCATCCCGTATCGTCATAGTTTGTATCTCTATATTCCCCATTTCTCTAAAACCCTTGCAATATCCCGTTTTAAAAATTGGTTGTTGTATTCTATTCATATGCATCGAAGTGAACCATTGGGCGGAGTTTTCTCCAGAACTTCTGGGTTACTGAGATATATTCGTATATCTCACCCCGTCTCAGGGCATTGATTTCATAAGGTAGCAGTGGAGCGGGAGCAGCGGGCAAGAGGCCCGCAGAGTGATTCAGTGGAGTTTTAGCCCTTTTGCATTTTGTTGGCCATGTGGCCTAGGCTAGACTTAGGGCATGAACATCTCATTTGTACTTAGTAGGAGCTTCATTAGCACCTTGTTCATGTCATTTTGCCTAAGTCTAGTGGTCATGCCATGTAGTTTATTTTACCATTTATATTTATGTTGTAATATTGGAAGATTGTAATTAAGTTTCATTTGGAGTTGTAAGTTGTAAAGCAATATTGTAATCGTATCTTGATGCTTGTCTATTTATGATGGAAGGGCCTTAGGCCTATTGTAGGTTATGATTATATGTATGATGATAATGTGCATGAAAATGGTGTTAGTGATTGCAACTAATTAAGAATGATTATTAAGATGAGTTATATGTCTAATAACTATAAACTGGATTGGGTTGTAAGTGCCCAAGGCGTTGTTGGTCCTTCTGTGTGCCACCCATTGGGTTATTACTGTATTATTATGTGATTATTAGATACATTTGAGGCTTAAATGATCTTGTACAAATTTGGGGATTATTGGAAAAACAAAGGAAACTCTGGCGAATTTTCTGTAGAATTGGCAGATTTTAGGCGAACTTCGGGAGAGCATATCTCCCTCTATAGAGTTCCAATAGGGACATGTCATACGCCATTTTGAAGGATGAGATGTCCTCTACCTTGTGTCAAAATTTGGGAAAAATATGGGTTGGTCTTCGACCTGTAAAAATTGGAGGAACGCAGACTGCTCATGTGCTCACTGCACATGTGGCAGTTCTGGTCCAGTTTTGGGAAATTAAGTCCCGCTTCGTTTCCCAGTCAAATTAAGCGTATGATATATCAAATCGAAGATTGAGGTGTCTAGTTTATGGTGTAAAAATTTTAGTGCAATTGGAGTAGTGTATTAAGTGCAGTAATTCGTGGAGTGAGGGACGTTTAGAGCTGTTTTGGGGTTGGTTGGCTATTTTGCTTATCCAACTTCAAACGACGATGACCGGAGCAAACGAGCTCTGAATTGAGCGTGTGATAGCTTGTTGAAAAGGGAATTAAGTAAGACAAAGATATAATATGAGAAGAAGGTCTGGTTGTGAGCGGTGTGTTCGCAAGAAATTTAGGAGTGAACCATGTTCGAATAGGTAAAAACAACGTAAAGTTTGGTAATTGGCTAAGTGGGTTTATGGGAACCCCTTTGTAACTTATAATAAGTATATTGTGATGTAAAAATAGATAAAATAAATATTCCGCAAGAGTTAACAGTTATAGTCACAACTTTTAATTACTACGCGTTTTATTGTTTTAAATGCTCGCGTAATAATCGAAAAAAGTTTATTCGTATTTTTATAAATGAATTGCTGTGATTGTAACTGCACTTAATATCATAATTAATGTTAACAATACCGGTACGTAACGGGCTGTTACACTGCCCAATTTTCATCCCCCATATGATAGAATTGGACCCCTTGGCCTTCTTGGAAGTTATCGATCGTTCTTTTAGCTTTCCAACGAGACCAAGATTGTGTAAATTAGATTAGTATAACTCAAGTTATGGGCAAAATACAAAAGTGGGTCAAATTGCCCTGTTTTGGTGCTTGCTCCAGAACTGCGGCGCTATTGGCGTCAAGTTGACGCTATTAGCGCCAACCATCAGGGGGAGGCCGTAGCATTGACACTATGGGCGCCATCCTCTCTGCCTCCTGGGCCTTTTGACGCTATAAGCGTGAGACTGGCGCTATGAGCGTGGGGTCTTGGGGATTTCAGTATCCATTTTCTTAGAAAATTCATAACTTGAGGTACAGTGCTCCAAATTGAGCGCGGTTTGAACCCACGCGTAGCTAACAAAGAAACCTACAATATAGTAATGAATGAGAAGCATTTCAGAGATACAAAAATTGTTATAGTAAATAAAAAGGCGAAGAAAGTTAGTGTTAAACACGAATAAGATAGGTTTTAAGCTTTGTTGGTTTATGGGAACCACTTAGCGTGTTTAAATGAAAGTTGCATGGTATTAAGCTATGGCATTTATAATTCCGTAATAAGTTCTGAGTTATGATCGCAGTTAATTCAAAGGTACAAACGATATTAAAAAGAAAAAGTTTTTCCGTAATTGCAAATAAATACTGTGATTGTAACTGCGCTTAATATCATATTTGATTATAACACACCGGTCCGGTAACGGGGTGTTACAGTGCAGCCTGACATGGCATAATTCGCTACACTGTGTAGCGAATTATTTGCAAACATAATTCGCTGCACAGTGGAGCGAATTATGCCTCGTGGCATTTCGGAAATTTTTACTGTTGGCGTGACAGTCTGATAAATAATTTGGCCAGTCGTGGCAAAATGGTCAATGTTCCAAAAAACATAACAATTTTATATTATACTAAATGGCTACCGTTGTTGTGTGTGTGTGGGAGGGGGTGTCATACAATCAGAAGGAAATTCTTCACATTAATCGATATGAGCAATTAGTTGAAAGGATTGCTCGTGGTAAAATACCAACTGAAAAAGATTTAAATTAAGAGACAACCTTAAAACGACTTAGATACATTGATTGACTTCCCGTTTTGGTTTAGTTACAAGTGTTTCTTAATGAATTTAAAACTTTCTTTTAAAAAAATGCAAGTTGATGACCCTCGTGGACACATTACCCCTCAATTCCTTCGACATTTCTCCTTCGTTTCCATCTTCAAGTTCAGAGCGCTTCTCTGCTGTGTACTCTCCTTCTTTTACTACAACCCACTCTCGAAGGTACTGTTTGCATTATGTTTAGGGTTTTCATAGCCTTCTCTCTTTCTCTACCATTTCGCTTCAACCCACTCTTGAAGGTAATTTTTTTTTCAATATTTTTTGCAATGGTTATTTTTTGTTTCAATTTCTGATGTCCAAGACAAATTTCTGATTACATATTGTTAAAAAAACTTATCTGGGTATTGTTTTCCTTGTTTCTTTTTGTGTTTTCATGATTATTGATGATTTTTATTTTTTGTTTTCTTTTTTTTCCTGCATTTCTGTCTTCTGGGTGTATTTTTCTCAACTTTATTGATTGTTATTTCTTTTCCCGTTGATTGTTGTTGATAGCTTTGATCAATATTGTAGCAACCACCCAATACTATATTATGACATGTGGATGGTGAATAGTGTATTTTGAATTTATTTTTAATGCAAATGATGTTAATGTCATAAGATAGATCTTAATTCTTAATGAAAAGCATTTAGTTTATATTAGGCTCTGTGGTGTTCTCAGGTTCTTTTGGCCGTTTGTAGCTAATCTGTTGCCCACAAAGGACAACTGAATAAGCGTCTTGTCAAAGGTGGCTTTGTTGCTACCCAAATATCTGTAAGTAACCATTGGCAACTTTATAAGACCTCTTTATAGTTGTAATTTTGGAGTTTGTACAGACAAATGTGACATTTTGATTGTTACACTAGTGCAGTTGGCACCTAAGAGCTAACTGCTTCTCCAAAAACAAATTGATGCTAATCAAGCTTATTCGTGAATTTCATGACGAAACTCAAATTCCTTCGTTTCCAAATTCAGTCAATATGCTGATGTTATATCTTTTTTCTTAGGAAGAAATTTTCTTGTCTATTTGTAACCATAATGCTTTCTGAAATGCTTCCCTGTCAATGTCACTAATCAAAAGCTTAGTCTTGTACTATTTGTTATATAAATACCAACATTTGTTAAAAAATAAAGCACTGCTCCTCAAAGTTTACCAATCCTGAAAAAGAAGCTTTTGAATCTAATTTGTGCATAGCAGGTGGAGTTATTAACTTTTGACGGTAAGGAGAACGTCTGGAATGTCATAAACATAACATTGATTGGTGCCTTCTGAAATCTGTGGTATTAGGAATATGTTTTGGGGATCTATCATTTCCAAGTTCTCAAAGTTTAGATTGTACACATCAATTATATTTCCTTACTTCAGAGGAGATTTATCAAGAATTTGAGTGGAATATCACAAAAAATGATTATTAGTTGGTGTGCTTTAAGGAAAAATTTGGGGGCCCTAGTAGTGCCATATTTTTATATATTAAAAGTTTGCCAAGTGATTATTCTAATAATTTTAGTTATTTTTACTTTCACTTATATGAGTTTGACTGAGATTCTTATATTCCTTAAATAATATGCGTAGCCTCTTTGTTTTTTACAAAAAAAATAGATAAACAATTGTTTTATACAAATTACTTTCAGAATGAGGATCTCCTTCATGATTATCATTCCATTTATTTCCATTATCAGGTAACCACTCTCAATCTTGAAGTTGTCAGAGCACTAGCTAGAGGTAGTTTCATAGTTATTATTGTCTACATATGCGCAATGATTTCTTTTGTATCAATGCATTGGATATTCATTTTTTGTTTCAGGCTTTTCTGCTTTTATTTTAAGTTTTTGATCTAATTGGTCATTGGAAACACTGAATGTTATCATGGTAATATCATGATATGCATCTAACCCTTTTCAGTCATATCGAGATTTGCCTCACATGGTTGTTATCTATTTCCATGGTCCTCTATTCATGTTTGATCACTATTTTGATTTTTGCTAATGTCACATTTTTGGCTTTATTATTTTGGGGTGGCTCTTTATTGGCTAACATGACACTCTCCTTACCTTGCTACTTAATGGAATGTGGAAGTACAAGCTCTTTTATTTAGAAGGATGATACTACATTACTACACTGTAGGAATTTTAATGATACAACTACATTACTATACTGTAGGAATTCTTGCAGAAAGAACAGGATCAAAGAAAACGATATATGCATATGTGAAATTGTGATGGGGGAAGACCAAAAAGTAGAAATGTTACGGGTGCAGGCAAGTTGTGCTAGGAAGGGATCAACACACTAGGCGACAATACTACCAATGATGTGGACTTGGAACTTGCTTATTCTTAATTACATGCTGTAAAATATTTTTATGAATTAATGTTTATAATTTTCTTGTGAAATGGTTTCTGCCATGGCAATGATGACCATATTTATCTAATTCTTCATTGCACAATCATTTACATTATACTATTCCACCGCTTAAACAAATCTGATGTTGAACTGAATTGCAAGTGTTTATACGGAGCGAGACTAAAATTACAGTAGTTGAAGGCAGTGCCACAGTTGGAAGGTCAAGCAGGAGGAAGAATAATGTGCACTAAATAACAGGGCTCAATTCTTTTGGTGGGTTGAAGGCACAGAACAGTGTCACCTCATTAGGACTTCCTGTATGCACTGAGCAATCCTTTGCAAATGTGGTGAGCTCCTTGAAATCTCCATTGCAGGGCAAGGGAAGAAGTGGAGGAGCTACTTCTTCAACATGTAATGCTGCAGGCGAAATTATCCAAATCGCAGCCATCATGAATGGGCTTTTTCTTGTTGTAGGATTTGTTTTTCTTCGACTTGAAGCATATATGGAATGGAGGAGGCTGAGTGAAAATCTCATAAACTTCATTTGATTCATGTTATTTTATTATCTTAATAAAAATGAAATTTGTATCTTTCTCAAAAAATTTAATATGATGCAGAATTATATTGTTTCGGTATCTAAAACCTCTTATGAATTTTTATTTGGAGACAAAGAACGGTACATATTTTTTTCTGATTTCTGGCATAAAAAGTTGGTTGGATATATTTAGATAAAGACAAAATATCCTCTTGGAGAACTTGAAGACTTGGTTTTGGTATTATTATAATAACTGGGCAGAAAACTGGACCTTATAATAATTTTATGGGAAAAATATTTATCCTTTTAAATGACACAACTTATATCTTTTTACTCTCACAATGAAGTAGGACTCACACCTTTAATTTTTTTGTCAATTCTCTCTCCTTTTTTATCTATCTCTTTTGCTCTCTTAAAATGACATAACTTTACATCTTTTAAAATGACACACGTTTTCTGCTAATTTTATAGTATGCTTTCATTTTCTGAATTTGGGAAACGGCGACAGTTACTCCATCTCCCACTTATGTAAAAAAGAAAAAAAGAAAATGAAAATTTTTACAACAACAGGTTAAAAGAAATACTTCTTCAAGTGTTTTTCCTTTTTTTTTTTTGTTATCAATGCAACACATAAAACTAAACTGTCAGCTGATGGTGCATAAGAAATATCTTTTATAATTGATTGAAATTTAAGGGATTATGAAGTAATGAACAAGATTTTGAGATAACATGCTTCTTACATTTATTGAAAGATCCTACTACGGAAGAAAAATACCTTAATAGACACTAGACAGTTTTAAACTGTGCCAACATTATACAGATGATAAATTTGTTAAATATTTCCTTAACTAGTTATAAAACCCAACAGATTGTTGGATACGACATCCATGTAAACCTGGGCTAATATAAAATACACTATAGCTTATTGCATTGCATAATCTCAGGTCTCTGATATGCACTTGAGGCCTTAAAAATTCAAGCACCGGGCCTTTTTAACTGGGGTAGATTATTTGGCCTGCTTAAAACTTTCATTGGCATTAGTAGAGTCTGCACCTTTGCTTTAAAGTCTCTCATATTCCAACCGGCTTGTAATGGTACATTTTGTCAGGCAGGTCCAGGGGAAAGCCTGTGGCGGGGGGCCACTACCAATGAGCTAAAGCTACACCAACCGTAGCAAGTGGATCCAACACCATGTCTTAACCCAAAACCTTAAGGCATTGGGTTCATGGGTCCTTTCACTTATATACTCTTCACTTAGCTGATTACCAACCAATGTGGGACTCATCACACTTGAATATCCCAACAATCTCTCCCTCAAGTGTGAAACCCAACATTGATATGCTCCCCCTCAACCGAGTACGGGGTCCAAGTACTCAACCCGCCTCCTAGCCAATCACATGGCTAGCTCGAGCACAACCCGGCTCTGATACCACTGTCAGGCGGGTACAGGGGAAAGCCTGTGGCGGGGGGGCCACCACTAATGAGCTAAGGCTACACCAATCGTAGCAAGTGGATCCAACACCATGTCTCAACCCAAAACCTTAAGGCATTGGGTTCGTGGGTCCTTTCACTTATATACCCTTCACTTAGCTCATTACCAACTAATGTGGGACTCATCACACTTGAATATCCCAACACATTTTCTAGCAAGTTTCAAGCAAACAATACCTACAAATATCAGAATTGTAGAAAGGATCCAACTGAACTCTATATTGGCTAATCCTCTGGCCCGAAAATAAGCCTCTTAAGAGCCACAAGTAATTGCTCCAAGGATCTCATTGCCAATGTCCTTGGCCAAATTCATTACACACCCTTCAGGGACAAATGCAGGAACCCATAGCATAAACCCCATGTTTATAAACCAACATCCTTAGAAGATGACTGAAACAGAAAGTAAGTACAAGAGTCGCATTGGAATTGTTAGGGAAAACAGTTGCAGCCAGAGATGCTAGAAGTGAGATAAGCACTATAAGCTGCAGCAACCAATGGTAATGGCCTTCAAGTCCAACATGGTCTGTGGAGTGAAAATGGAGTAGGAAGAGCTCTTGACTGAACACTGAGGATGCAAGTATCACAACAAATCCAGAGAATAGATCAAGTGAATTAGTCAACTAAGTTGAGAGGGAGAAACCAGGAAACAAAGCAAGGTGTATGAACATAGTTGCATTCTCAAAGTGAACAATCTTAAAAGCATAGTGGAAATGAGGAAAGTCTAGAACTTGCATGAAAATTGCGAGGTCGGAAAAAGATCAAATGGAAACAAGCTCCAAGCGGAAAGTCAAATCACAACCAAGCTCTATAATAGAACACAAAACCTAGAAGCAACCAACGTGTTAAAATACAAAAGGAGAGAAACATATTCATTGATCGGGCCAAATATTTCATCAACTTTCCCAATCTGAATGATGTTTTTGATACAGAAGTGGGTCTCTGTAACAGAAAGTAACTACAAACTGATTGTACTCAATGATCAATGAATTGTTCCATTACACAAGAGTCTCATATTTATTGATACACTTAAGTGCTTCTACGTAAGTAACTAACTATCTCAACACAACTAACTAATGTTTGTCTCATTATTCTCATGGATCACAGCCCATGATATTACAATTATTGTACATGATCCACGGCCCACGAAGGGAAGCCCTTTATCCTTTTACTTCTAACTTCATGTCCTGTTCTATTCCTAACATCTTCCCCTCCTTCAAAAGCCACCTTGTCCTCAAGGGTGGGATAAGTTTAATGCAAGTCTTCAGTGTTTTCCCATGTTGCATCTTCCGGAACCGTCGTAGACCATTGCACCAATTTTTGCAGTACAGATTTGCCTCCCACTGTAATCTGCCTTGAAGCTAAAATGGTTATAGGAACTTGGACAGGTCTGTTATCCATGTTGTCTGCCGGTAAGGATTCAAAGCTTGGGCTTGAAGAACCATAAAATGGTTTCAAAACAGAAATGTGGAAAACGGGATGAATTAAACTTCCTTCTAGAAGGTTGACCTTGTAAGCAATAGGGTTAATAACCTGTTCTATAGTATATGGACCAAAAAATTCTTTGGCCAATTTGTGATTAGCTCATTTTTCTACTGATACTTGACGGTATGGTTGAAGCTTTATTAAAACATGATCTCCCACTTGAAATGAACTTTCCTGACGATGGCGGTCATCTTGGTTCTTCATTCTTTGTTGTGCTCTTTGTAACTGCACCTTAAGTAAAGCTAATACTTCTCCTCCCTGGTGCAGCATCATATCTACAGCTTCAATTTGAACGATATCCTTGTGATACTGAGGAATGAAGGTTGGCATTTTACCATATACTGCTTGAAAAGGAGACATTGAATTGAAGAGTGAACTGAAGTATTACAGTGTAATTCAGCCCAGCATAGCCATTGAAACCATCTACTGTTCTGTTCAAAACAAAATGCACGTAGATATTGTTCAAGATACCGGTTGGTTACTTCTGATTGTCCATCCGTTTGTGGGTGGTATGATGAACTAGCAAGTAGTTTAGTCCCACTCAAACGAAATAACTGTTGCCAAAACTTACTCATGAAGACCGGATCTCTATCAGAAACCAAGCATATGGGAAAGCCATGATGCTTCACCGCCATATCAAAAAATAGAGCAGCCACTGTTGCTACAGTATATGTTGCTGGTAGTGGTCCAAAGTGACCATATTTTGACAATCGATCAACCACTACTAATATGGTCGCATACCCATTAGACTTTGGTAATGCAGTGATAAAATCTAATGTTAAGTCATCAAAAATGGCATCAGGTATTTTCAATGGTTGCAATAAGCCAAACGGTACCTGAGTTGAGTATTTAATTTGTTGACAAATGGAGCATTCATTGCTAAATAATTTGACATCCTTGCTCCACATAAATGATGTAGACAATCGAAGGAATGTTCGTTGGACCCCAGCATGTCCTCCCACAGGTGTCCAGTGAGCTTCGGTCAACATTAAAGCTTTTAACATGGATGTAGATCCTAGCAAACACCTATTTTTGTGAAATAACATTCCATCTCTTCTGGACACATCAGGATTCGTATGAGAGCCTTTATCCATCAATTTGTGAATTGCAAGTAGTTCTTGATCAGTTTTGTTTTCCTCCTTTATCTTCAACCAGACATCAAATGTAGGTTGTGATTGTAGGACACAACAAGTAATTATTTCTTCTTCTGGAAATTGTCGCGAAAGAGCATCAGCCACAATGTTGGAAGATCCTGATTTATACTCGATAAAAAAATTATATCCCATTAGTTTATAGGCATACTTCTGTTGTTCTGGAGTTTGGATAGTTTACCTCAACAATTCCCTCAAACTTTGGTGATCTGTTCTAATCACAAAATGGGATCCAAGTAAGTAATGTCTCCACTTTTTAATTGCCTCAGTTACTGCATAAAGCTCTCGAACATATGCAGATGCTACAGCCATTCTAGGACCTAGATTTTTACTGAAATAAGAGATTGGCCTTCCTTCTTGTAATAATTCTGCCCCCACTTCCATGTTGGATGCATCTGATTCCACCACAAAGGAAGAATTGAAATTTGGCAGCCTTAGAACTGGGGTGGTAGACATAGCTATCTTCAATGCTTGGAATGCACTTTCTGCCTTCGATGTCCATTTCCACTTGTCATGTTTTAATAACTCAGTTAGAGGATGAGCCAAGGAAGCATAACCTTGTACAAACTTCCTGTAATAGCCTGTCAGCCCTAAGAAGGCTCGAAGTTGTTTG